ACATGAGTTAACAGCCAGTCAAACAAATATTTTTGTGACTAGTCATTCCACAATCCCAGTAAATTTGTTTCTGTGGTTAGGTTTAATAAAGTATGTTAGAATGTTAGATGACACACAAATCAAAATGCATATGTTTCAAACTTGGGTAAAAACACTAGCCAATAAGCAGCAAATTTAAAGTGTCAAGTCTGTAGCATTAAACCTTTTAAGAAACCAGACTTCAGCCAAAAAGCTAATGCCAAAGTTAAAATCTGGGATACAAATGCCCCATACACCATTGGGCAAGGTATTGTAAACCACAAAGTAATTTGGGAACACGTATACTTCAGAACAACACACATTTGCAATGCAATATCATAATCTTTTAAAATAAGAAATCTAGTTTTGGTTACGAAGGAGAAGTAAATGAACCCAATGGCAAGTCTCTGACACTAATCTAGTTGATTACTCTGGAAAAGGACTTTTTTTTTTTTTTTTTTTAATACTACAGTGCAAAGTAGCATAAGATTTACGTAAGGACCGAAGCCATAGCAATAGCCCATAGTCTGCCACACACTTGAATGAAAACCAGATGAAACTGTTTCATAGCAATGTATTTGGTGGACTAGATATATAATGGAACAGAACATTAAACTTCTGTGAAAAAATGGATGAGATTTACATGTGTAAACAGCACATAGGCCAAAGAGTATGGAGTATGGTCAAATACAAATGTAGTAAAAAGATAGTAAAAGAATTGTTTGTGTGTGTGCAAAAATACATTTGGGGCTTTTAACAGATTCTGAACCACGATGTTATGCACATAGACAGACTGTACAACACCATTAACCATTCCTGTTGGTTTTCCTCATTTCTTCTTTCCAACTACTTCATACATCTTCTTGAACAGCCTTTATTTATGCTACTCAGTGTAACTGCTGTAAGGAAAACCAGGATTCTCTGATGATGCAAGTTTTGTGCAGTGGCATACAATCACTTTAGCCTGGGTGCAAATAGTCAAGGCAATGTATTGCAGAACGTGTACCTCATTATGTCAGATCATTAAGAAAAATACAAGTAAGGTCCGGATACTGCTTTGAAAAAGCAGGAGTATATTTCTGCAACTCTTCTTCTAAGGGAGGAATATTTTAAAAGCTTATTTATTGCACAAATAAGGTACTGTACAATGAAGCCTTCAAGTTTTGTTCTTAGGGTGGTTAGGCTATTTCGACCAGCCTCTCTGAAGTAAGAAAAAAAAACAAAACACACAAAAAAAAACCCCAAACCCGAAAACCCAAAGAACCCAAGGGTCATTAAAATCCTGATACTGGCTGCTTTTATTGGATTGTATCCTCGAACTCTCTGAGATGTAAATTTCCAGCGATAACCTGTGCGGCAATAAACTTCATTCAGCCACAAGAGTGTGCGTGTGAGAGGATTGCAAATCTCCTCCGCCAAACCAGAATTAGCCGGTATCGCAGGAATGAAAGAGCGTGGAGGTTTGAAATTGCAGGGAATGGAGACAAGGCGGTGCAGGCGAAGAGCTGCCTGGGGGGCAGGAG